GTGAACCCCTCAGGGCCACAGAAAATGGAAAGGAAGGCGGTGAACCCCTCAGGGCCACAGTGCTGACGCCCACTTGCTTCTCTGCTTTCAGTGCTTCCCTCCTTCACCAAGACCCCCATGGACCTCACCATCCGCGCCGGGGCCATGGCGCGCCTGGAGTGTGCTGCCGTGGGACACCCAGCCCCGCAGATAGCCTGGCAGAAGGACGGAGGCACAGACTTCCCTGCTGCAAGGGAGAGACGCATGCATGTGATGCCTGAGGATGACGTGTTCTTCATCGTGGATGTGAAGATAGAGGACATCGGGGTGTACAGCTGCACAGCTCAAAACAGTGCAGGCAGCATTTCTGCAAATGCAACTCTGACTGTCCTGGGTAAGTGAATTTATTAAGATTCTGAAGTATCAATCAGTCCTGAAGATACTAGTTCACCCAAGAACCCTAAGTGCCAAAAGTTGTGAGGGTGTGAGATGGAGGTCTGTAGGGCCTTAGGGCCCTGCCCTTCCCTAGAAAGAGCAAATGGCCTCTTGGAAGCCTTGAAGTTGGGGGTGCAGAGAGAGCCTTCCACCCACAAGCATGTGGCAGCAAGACAGATCTGCCCTACGTTCCAAGGAGAGGGGACAGTGGAAGCTTGATGCTTTCCTTTCCAAGGGGGTAACTCCTGTACTGGCTCTGTGTCCAGTCTCTGCCAACTGTCTTAATGCTGCCAAGAACATACAAGAAAATAAATGTAGGAACAGATTGGGAAGGACCTACTCGATTTTCTCAGACTGCCGTCTATTCTGGAAATCAGTTCTTTATCATCTTTTACATGAACAAATACATTTGAAAAATGTGTGTTTACTGTGCATGTATCTTTGAAAGAGTTAACCTATTATGGTACCAAATAATAGGAAAAAAAATTGTCAGAACTTTAATACAGTCCTATGCATCAGGCCCTATAAAGTTTTACTTTAAGAACTTAGGCCTTCTGAATTCTTTTATCCATTAGTGTATCTTGAACCTGAAATTATTTTTTATTACTTTCCATTTTTTCAAAAATGGTATTCTCCCACCCCAGCCCACCACCAATTTTCTAATTTGGGGAAGATGGAGGGAAGTTGAGATGAAAAATAGTGACTGTTATCTTTAACTAGTATTATGAGTAAATGACAGCAGGATTATGAAATCCCAAATGCGTATGTTTGGGGCTTGAAAAAGCATGTCTACTAAGTTGTGGGAGAATAAAATTTTAGGTTGCAGTTGGAATAAATTCAAACACACTAGGTCTTAGGATATGGAAACTGTGAATTCCATTTAGGAGATTAAAAGCATGACTTGTAATTTCAGAAACGCCATCATTTTTGCGACCTCTGTTGGACCGAACTGTAACCAAGGGAGAGACGGCCGTCCTGCAGTGCATTGCGGGAGGGAGCCCGCCCCCCAGACTGAACTGGACCAAGGACGACAGCCCCCTGCTGGTGACAGAGAGGCACTTCTTCGCAGCAGGCAACCAGCTGCTGATCATTGTGGACTCAGACGTCAGCGACGCGGGGCAGTACACCTGCGAGATGTCCAACACACTGGGCACCGAGCGGGGCAGCGTGCGCCTCAGTGTCATCCCCACCCCCACCTGCGACTCCCCGCAGGTGGCTGCCCCAGCTCTGGATGACGATGGCTGGGCCACGGTGGGCGTGGTGATCATAGCCGTGGTCTGCTGCGTGGTGGGCACGTCACTTGTGTGGGTGGTCATCATATACCACACGAGGCGGAGGGGTGAGGACTGCAGTGTCACCAACACAGGTGTGCGGGGGCACCGGCTTGGGCTGTACTCACAGGTGGTGCTCATGGCCGCGGTGCCACAGGCATTCCCGAACGTGCCATCTCAGGAGAGTGACTCAGTCCATTCCAAGCTGCAGAAATAAGGCTAGCTAAAAATAGCACTGTGGGCCCCCAGAAAAGCTGATGTTTAATGATTAATACTTGTCAAAACCTCATGAGAATATCCTGTTGGCTGTGAGGTAAAATGACAGGTCACAGAGTCAAGTGGCTAACTCCTTCTCCTGCTGGTGGAGAACCAGGAACGGCCCTTAGTGACGCATTTGCTCTGTGTAGTTGCCAGGCGTTCTGAGGCATATGTAAGTGTGTGCGCATGCGCATGTATGTGCTCGTGCGTGTGTGTTCATGCACATGTATGTGCTTGCATGTGTGTGCGCATGTGCGTGTATGTGCTCGTGTGTGTGTGTTCATGCGCGTGTATGTGTGTGTTCGTGTGTCTATGTGCTTGCGTGTGTGTGTGCATGCGCGTGTATGTGCTCGTGTGTGTGTGTGTGTTCATGCGCGTGTATGTGTGTGTTCGTGTGTGTCTATGTGCTTGCGTGTGTGTGTGTGCATGCGCGTGTATGTGCTCGTGTGTGTGTTCATGCACGTGTATGTGCTCGTGTGCGTGTGTGCATGCGCGTGTATGTGGCAGGAGCATAGTGATCTGTGGGAGGGGACCTCTGGCCTGATTTATATTTGCAAAGTCAGACATTGGTTAACGATGTTAGGGTGCATGGCAGAAATAAAGCATAATTTAGGGCCTGGGACACTGTCTCATGAAAATACACAAGTTTTCATTTTTATAGGTATTTTTTTGACACTTGTGGGGGAGTGGACATCCAACAGGCGATGAAGTAGCAAATCAGCTTACACTTCCCAGCCAGCACAGCCCTCCTGGGCCTCTTCTGCGTGCTGTAGGATCAAGATGGTTTTGCCAGAGTAGATCTGCTTTCACTAGATTTATACAGAAATCAAAATGCAGTAGATTTGGCCACCTTCCCGCATCGGCCATCTCCTTAAGTTGGCCAGTCTAATTTTTATAGAGTGGACACACACCACACGTGCCGTGAATGCCCGGGCCTAGCTCCTTATGCTGACCACCTCTGTATGTTGACCAGTTTGTCACCGTTCCTTGGGGGTCCCCTCACAGAGGTTCTGCTGTGGTCTGCACTGCTCCCTGAGAGTCTGGTGGGACAGTGACAGCCTTCCTCGGCTAACAGAATGGTGCTGTTTTATTGCAGATGAGACCAACTTGCCTGCAGATATCCCGAGTTACTTGTCCTCTCAGGGGACGTTAGCTGACAGACAGGACGGGTACGTCTCCTCAGAGAGTGGAAGCCACCACCAGTTCATCACATCCTCAGGTGGCGGGTTTTTCTTGCCACAACATGACAATAGTGGTAAGTGTTAGAAATGAATGTGGGCTGTGGTTGATTTGAAATCATCAGATGGAAAGCTCCTCAGATAGAGTATCTTCATAAGAAACCAACTGATACTTAGGACCTGGCCCAGATGACTAGCAAGGCTGAAATTGTATAGTTCTATGTCCTTCCCTTAAGTACTAGGAAAAAATTCTTTGTTTCTGGTAATAAAAGTCACATAGGTTAGTTTGAATGTAATTCTCCCATGCAATGTAGTATTTCTATTATATCATGAATGCTCTTTGACCCTAATGTTTTCCTTCCTTAAAAGACATTAACTAGTTTCATGCATGGTCTTAAAAGTCATGTGGTTTATCTCATTCTATTGGAGGAGTCTGGCTTTAACCCTTGCTTTAAATGCTGCATGGTTTTGAGCACAGTAATGGGGCAGCCCAATCCAGGCGCACAGGCTGGCGTGGGACCCGCTTCCACCACTCAGCCTCGCCGTGATGGGCAGTTAACAGGACCTCGCGATTAGGGGGTTATACAAATG